CAGTATCCGTTCCTTGCTTCTCCTTGGGCGAGTCTTCCTGTGATTGCCCGTGGTTAAGGAGTTCCTCAACGTACTCTCTCCAGCGTCGAAGATTCTCTTTATCCTCGATAAGAGGGTGTCCGGACTTGTCCTTCATGACTCTTTGACTGTCCTTCTTTTTAACTCGCAGCCAGGCAATTGTCTCCCAGAATGCCTTGTTTGCCGTGTGAGGAAATTCGCCCCCAGCGCCTCACCCAGCTTTTCCCAGGAATTACCTTTGGCTTTCACCACTGCTTTCGCTGCCGCCTTGCATGCTTCGACATATTGCATGCGAGCTAAAGGCACTTTGTTTTCAAGCTATTTCTTGAATCCGTTATTCTTCTCTTTACCTGCCAGTTTTGCCTCTCGTGTCCACCAGGTAGTTTTTTTCTGGCCTCCAGGGTGCTTGTCATTCTCCTGTAGCACTTGATGGCAACCTCGAGTATGTCGCTCTCAAAAAGCTTCCACTCGGTTTCCACATCAGTGGTCATCGCCGAGGTCTGTTCAACGTGTCGTGCGATGTTGTTTGCTAATTTCGCTCTCCTATCTACGGATGATAACGTTTCCCATTTGATTCTTTGGTTGCTTCTGTCATCTGATCTTCGTATGGTACTCCATTTCTTACAGCGCAGCATACCTTCACAACAAGGTGCTGATCAGTTGATGGCTCTGCGCATCTCTTAACCCGAACATCCATTACCGAGCGTCTTAAGTCAGACGATACGATTATCAAATCGATCATCGATTTCTTTGCACAAGCTTTTCTGTACCAGGTATACTTATGCACTCTTCGTTGCTCGAAGAAGGTGTTCACAATGGAGAGTCCGTTGCTTCCGCACAAGCGCAACAGCTTGAAGCCGTTATTCTTGAATTCGCTAAGGTCGTTTTTTCTAATGACGCTGTTCCACTTTTCAGCGTCTACTCCGACGTGCGCATTAAAATCTTCCATCAGTACAAGGGACTCTGTATTCGGCACTTCGGACAGAGCACCTGCACTTCCTCAAGAAAGAAATCATATTCTCCATCCAAATTGGGTGCATAGACCTGTAACAAGGTCAGCGCTTAGGCCTGTTGTAGCTTCATTCGGAGGTTTACCACACTTCCGTTGACAGGCTTCCACTCAATGATTCTCTCGGCTAGGTTTGGTTCTACCTGAACACCAACACCAACCTTATCTCGCGTCGTGATATCGACTCCTGAGTAGAATAGCTTCCATCCACTGAGGTTCAGGATTCCAGAGCCTTAGCGCTTATTTGACGAGCGTCCAACAATGCCGACTTGGTACTTTATGGCCTCATCAACTAACTCTTGCAATTTCCGGCTGTTATCTCCCACTGGTGGTGTAGTTTTCGTGGAACCTTTTCTGAATGCTATTGCGGCATCGTGCTGCTGCCTTCTCCTTTTAGAACTGGTTGCCACTCCGTTGCTGACTGGTTTCTTAGTGTTAGTTCCGTCGATGTTTGTCATCAGTTGTTGTGCCGCTAGGCCCCTGACTTTTCTGAATCTGCCTCAGTCCCTCAGCAGCCTTGCGCGGCCCTTGGTTACCCGGGCGACGTCCAAGCCGTATAATCTTCGATGTTGCCAATACCATGAAGTGCAGGTGGTGGATTTTTACGTTGTCTTTGCTACGGTCTCCACCATTCCTTTTTTCTCAAGAGGGCTTGTGACTGCCAACGTGTAAAATATTCTTTTTAATTGAGGCTTTCTTCAGCGACTTCGTTGGAGAGATGTTATTGTTCTCTCCGGACACCTTTCATTTTGTCCCACGATATGTTGTGTTGGTGGATAGGGGCATGTTCCGCAATGACAGAGTTTTTCTCGGATTCTGCCTTTATAAGTTCAGGATTTTTCGTCTATTTCTGACCTCTGCCGAATTGCTGTTGATCCCTTTCTCTGGCATCATCGTCCTTGCACCTGATGAGATTCTTCATGTTTTCTGTCTTCCTTTCTTCAACATGCTGTTACCCACCAACGCTTGCTTCAACAACTGTTACCCACCAACGTAGCATATCGTTGGATAAAATGAAATTGTCGCGCGAGAAATACAGTATCTTTCCCGCAAAGTAAAGGAAGCGTTGTTGATCCGCGCATCCAACTGCATCAATCATGACCTTAGGGCAGACGTCAGCGACAAATGGACCTCAAACATCAGGCGGTCGCTTAAGGCCAGAAAGCAAACTCGGCACCATTAAGCATGCGGGTTAACCAGAACTGCATGAAAATATTTCTTATTTGTTTGTTTCATAATGGTATGGAATATGCTATTGCAGCATTGAAATAGTTTATTAATCGTTGCTTTTTGTTGTGAATAATGCATTTTTTGTCATTTGCCGAAATTTTGCTAAGCATTGCTCTGAAACATTTCGTAGCCCGTGGCGGTGGACCGGTCATGTTCCGTCATGGAAAGTAGCATAAATCGGTCTACGGTCTCGTTGAAGACGTTTTGATGCAGAAATTTTAAACAGTTTCATCTGTAGATTTTGAATCTGGTCATGGTTAAATTTGATCATGGGGTTACGCGTTATCGATAGATCTTGATTGATTAAGCTGAGACCGTATATCCTGGCAATCTGTTGATGCAGTTGAGTAGAGATTGACAATGAAATTTTGATGACCTTCGCAAGATTTTCTATCTGACTTTACCACTTATTGCTTTACACCAGGGTTGCTTGGTCGACCGTCAGACTCAGAGCAGATAGATCCAGAGTTCAAGCCCTGGTGGAGGTCACTCGCCCTTCTTCCTTCCGAGGTCGGTAAATGAGTACCATTATCTACACGCTACGCTCGCCACATCGCTGTAGACTGTCTTTAAAAATGTGACACTCTTGCTTGATGGCATATAAACAAAGATCAGCACGCACGTTCATGTTCGTGAAAAGAAAGACGCCAGAATGGTCCTATCATGAAAGTGAATGAAGACCGGCATTTCAAAGTTCACCAACTTTCCTTTCCTTTCTATCTGACTTTCTTTTTCAGAATTAACAGCAATGTCGATCTAATTGTATCTGGAACACAACTCTGGACGCGAATGAACGTTATGTCCGGTTCAGTCGAGGATCACCGAGAACTTCAGACACTGGACGAAGTGCAGCAAGTATTTTCGATGTGTTTCAGTCGTGGCATCGCTATCGAGCGGTATGTGGCAAATGGTGAGGTGTTCCAAGAGCTGGTGAACGCTGCCGAAAATAAACTGCATTCAGTAGAGGTTGTTTGAATATATACCTTCGTTCATTTCGACGCCTTTTGTTGTTAAAGATCTACATTTCAGGTAACCGTTGGAGGCAACGCCGCTCTCTTTGCGCAGCAGATCGCAATGGAGCACAGTGACGCAGAAGTACGTTCTTAAGGCTCTGCTTTTAATAACCTTCGCCAACAGCACATACCTCACATCGCTTTCATTAACGCACTCGTACAGTTTTAATATCCGAATATCATGGCCACAAGAATGATACAAGTATGACATATCGGCGCAGCAGCCTTACCAAAAGGAGTTGTAGAAAGTTACTTCAGTGCCACCCTTAGTGCCCAATCGGGACGGAGCAGCATCGATGAAGTTGGCAATTACTTTAAAGAAGGCGTCATCTCC